CAGGGTACTAGGAAAGATGAGACTGAGATCAAGAGGTGGGAGGAAATGCTTTATGTAAGAGAACCAGGTGCACCACCAGAAGAACCGATGCGAGGATGCAGGGAATTTTTCTCTCTGACTTTAATAGACTTAAATTAGACTTAATTTTTATTTTGAGTTGTTTAAATTTATTAATTATATATATATATATATTTTTACGTGTTATAGAAAATTGTGTTTGTTTTTACTTTCTTTTTATTTTTAAAAAATATTGCAATGTATTAGATTTATTTACAAAGAATGAGTAGTAATTAACTATAAATAAATAAAATTTTATCAATTAAGTAATAATAAGTGCATTTTTATTTTTATTATTTTCTTTGTTGAATTTTATTAAATTATTATTTATTATTTAATAAAATAAAAATATAATAATTAATTAATAAAAAATTATATTTATTTGTAATTAATCAATATTTAAATAAATTTTTTATTTAATATTATGCTTTAATTTGACAATGTTGATATGTAACTACATTTATAGTTTTTTAAAAATCTTTTGACATTTTAAAAATATATAAAATATATTTAATATTTATTTTTATTAATATTTATATATATTTAAAATAATAAAAAAATTATATTAATTAAAAAACTTAAAGATTAAGAAATGTGATCAAATAAAATCTAAATATTATAATTACTCTTTTCAAATAAGAGTAAAATAAGAAAAACAGTATTAAATGATATTCTAAAAAATAAAAATAACTAACTAAATTTAAATGTTTTAAATTAAGAAATTAAATCCATTACGAGTAGAATTAAAGAGACATAATAGATTAAAAAACTAATCATGGAAATATTATTTACTTATAAAACAAATTTAAAATATTTTATTATTAAAATGTTAAAATTACTTATTATAAAATTATTCAAATAATTTTCTTTTATTTACTGTATCAACACCGGCAAGAATGAAATGCTATGGATTTTTCTTAACATCCTTCTCGGAAAACGTGGTGTCACCAACCGTCTCAGTTTTATTCCAAGAACCTACTGTAAAGACTCTTCTTTTTTTTTTTTAATGTGTTTTTTGGGTTAAAAAAAAAAGAAAAA